GACTTGTAGCACTGCATAGTCACTTTTGTTCTGTGCAATTTGTTGCTGTTGCATCACTACTTTGTGTGTGCCTGTGTTTGTGCATGATTTAGTGAGGTGCATCTCTGGAGAAAGAGGAAAAAGGCTGGTTAAATGTCACCCTTTTTTTGCTCCTTACACCGAATAAATTTTGGCTTTCTGTTCTTCTTTGGTTATTATAAATGTTATCAGTATATTTTTTTAAAAAAGATCATGTTAAATACTGAGCAGTGCTACAGTCTCTTCCCATTTCACAGAAAATCAGCTTAAATGCATTAGCTACAAATTTTCAGTGACAGTAACACTCTTCCCTGTGTACCTGGACAGATATTAGAGAATGGAGTTAATAGCCTATCTCATTCAATCAGCTTTATGGTATCTGACCTCCCAGAAGCTAGCGAGAATTAAGTCCTGCCTTGCTTTCTCTGTAAATCAACAGCAAACCCCTGCTTGCTCAAAAGTGTTCAGGTGCAAGCCCTGGTGTTATGACCCTCATATGGATAATGAGTTAAAAATATCTTTTTGTGCCATTCCCTTCACCAGGAACTTGGTAAAAACTTGGAAACTTTTGGTTCAGAGTAATGCAGCAAATAGTGGAAACTGCAGGTCAACAGTGTGTCTAAAGGCAGCTATGGTAATCATATTGCAGGTTTGAGTAAGAAAGCCTGGGCTGCAATCCAATGAAATCTAAAGAACAAAATTATACTCTATGGGATCTGACAATATTTTCTCCAAACTACCAATTCTGTCTACAGTCTATAGGAGTGACATGTCTTGCAATTTTGCTGGAGTATCTGTTTTCTTTTACTTCACACTAAGACCTAGGCAGGGTTTTATTTCAACAATTTTAATTTTAAAAAGAATTTATTTTTAACTTCTGTGTGCAACACAATGTTGCCTTACAAAGTGATGAACTAAAAGACCGCAGTTAGCAATATCAGTATTTCATCTAACTACTCACAGGGCTTGAAAATATTACAGCATCAGACACCCCACTCCAGAAGAATTGCAGTTTGAGCTTTCTTCAACACATTTCACAGAGCAACTCTGGCTGTCAGATGAGGCTTTACTGTTAAAACATATTAGATAAGGATCCATTTTTCTAACCCCAATTGAATTAAAATCAGGAGGTAGTCTGGAGTCACTTCAACACAAAGTGTTGAATTCTTGAGTTCAAGAAGAATTTGGCCCCATCATCCATGGCATTGGTGTAGACCAGTAACTGCCTGATACACTACATATGAGTTTTGATCACATTAGCTTTATAAATAAGATGTAATTCTACCAGAAATAGTCACATGTTCCAGTGCATTGTAAATGGACTTTGATGCACATAGCCAAATTGTAAAAGTAAGGTAAATAATTTGATTATTATAATTCCAAAATTATATGCAGTAGTGTCTTGCTAGTTACCTACTTTTTTGAGTTTTTCAGGTCAAAGCAGAGTGCAGGCACTAAAAAAAAACATTAAAATTTTATGCTTCATTTATGAAATGGTGGAAATTGCCTAAGATTCAAATGCAGTGCACAAGTACAAAATACAGCCTTTGTGATAACCCATCCTATAGCTAAAGTCATACCATATTCACAGAGTAGGAATGTAATTACTGCACCAAGTTAGCTGATCTACTGCTGACCATCAGCTGTCTTGGAAAAGCACTCTTAATAGTAATTTGTTCTTAAGATTAATTTCTTCATATTGGATGAAAATTCCTGTAAATCTTTCTGAAAAAAAAAAAAAAAAAAACAACAGTGTGCTAAGATCTTCTGTGATATCCTACATACTGCTGAAAACGACAACTCATTAGCTCATTTTGGAGCACAACTCAGAAATACAGTATGGGAAGATAATAAAGTATTACCATAGATTTATGATAACTATTAGCCATATTTAAGGATGGTTGTAGGGAAGGACTAGATTTCTTTAAGTCATTTCATAGCTACGACAGTAGCTGTCCAAGTATGCAAGAGAAGAGGTATGCATTTTAGCCAGGGTGTGATTTAATGAAAAAATTCCAGAGAAACAGAGGTTAACAGGAAGAAAACCATCCCAGAAAAGGCAAAACTGAGTTTAGTCCTTGCTCTCTGCTGGCTACTCTCTGTCAAGATTATATTCTGCCTTGCAGTGAGAAAATCTTTGCAAGTGAGCAAATGTTTTGCACCTTATACTTTTACAGGGAACCTGAAGACTTTCTCATTTTCCCATGCTGTACATGGGCCATGGATTGAATTTTGACTCAGAAGCTGTGCTTTCAGTGCACATACAGGTTTGTGCTAAATGTGCATTCACGCTTTAAGCAGCTCATATTTTGCTAACTAAGGAGATCTCTTGTTCCTTAAATGCCCTTTCCAGCTCGGGATGCAGCACAGAAACCTAACAATCAAGTAGCTTGCCTCAGACTTTTTCTTTGTGAGGCAGGCTTGCAATAGAAATAGTCTCACAGGGCTTTGTGCCCTTGAGTTCTGCACTTTCCCTTCCACTTGGCAACACATGAGGCATACTGGTACATATTTTGGAGTTGTAGAGCAGAGGTCCTTGGTCCCCCTGGGAGAAGGGCAATTCTTCACTGTGAACAGACCCTCCCCACCCTGCTCCATATTAACATCAGCATTCAGAACAACGCAACATCCCTGCAGCTTAGGACAGGAAAATCTTTATCCTGATGTGCCACTGCTGGCCCACATGGGACTGAACTGCGTTGAGGGATACTCTGCTGGGACCACATGTGAATAATCTGTATTTATGATGAGGTGTGGCACACCTGGGATTTTGGAAGTCTGCCTTGTCTGGCACACCTGAACAACCCCATTGAAAGCAGCAGCGTTACAGAACCATTGCTGAGGGTAGGAACTGCCATGCTAGTTTTCATCAGAGATAGGAAGGGAAATCCCATACAACTATCCTTTAGTGTATTATAGTGTGGTGATCCAGTACTGTGCTTCTGCTCAGAAAAATCGCATAGTGATTTCAATGGGAGAGAGTCCAGGTGTAAGATGTGGCACCAGACCTTGTGACTTGGTGCAGGTATGTATCTGTGACCTGTAAATGCAAGATTTCAGTTCTTTTGACAAGTAAGGAAAAAATTACAACAGGCCATACTGATACTTGTAATTGAATTAAATTCAGCTTTAGAAAGAATCAGGATTTTGAAAAGGTTTAAAAGTTTGAGCATTTATCCTGTTGGGATAGGGTTCAAGAACTAAAAACTCCTAGACTTGTAATGTAGACTGAGTGAGTCACAGTTGTTCCAAATCATAACTCTAAAGGTGATCAGGTACTTCTAGTATTTTTAAGAAAAAATAAAAGGTATATATAAAATAAGGACACATTCACACAGGACTGAGATCTATTACCTTTGAAAATTACTGAGAAACCATATTGTCTGTAGCTACAGAAGAACTTGCAGACTCTTTGAATAAGTGGGGCCAGATTCTGCGCTCATGCTACCGTAGGACAGTACTGGGAAACAGCCCTGGCTAAATCCTTGTAAACTCTATAGCTTAAACTTTGCTGTATTGAAGTAATTACAATATCTTCAGTTTTTGGCTTCTGGATACTAATTAACCACGTCTCCAAGATACTGCTGAGAAGTGGTGACAAAACCAAAGGCAGGTCTTTGCTTCCAGGTGCTAGGAGCAGGCCCGTGGCTGGGAGAGGCATGTGGTTTGATCCACAGCTTGCTGCCTGGGAGCCTGTAGAAACAGGGGTCAGGATTAATCTGTACCAGAAGTGCACATTAGTGCAAATTATTTCTTGGAGGCATATTGGCCAGGTACTCATGTATCCTAATACATTTATACTTCTGTAAGACACACATGTAGAGGAGAAACCTTTTAATTTCTGTGTTCAGCAAAATGTTAACAAGATGAATGAATCTTTCCTAAAACCAAGCAAAACAAACCCATCCTTTACCAATAGTGGCACTTAACAAATTGTAAAAGATGTTGGGAGCTAGATGCTCGACCCGTGCTTCTCTCAGCAGTGACAGCAAGCCTAAAAATTGAGCACTTTTCATGCTGCTGTGCCAGGGTGCTGGATGCCACTCGTCCTCTACAGGGCAGCTGCTCCTCAGGATCAGCACAGAGCCTTTCTATGTCACAACTCAACCCAACTATGTGTTGCAAGCTTAGAGAAACTGTGGTGCTATGTGGCCCTGCTCCTGGGTTATGAAGGTAGCATCCCCCTACACCTTCCCTGGGGGATTCACAAAGAGACCCTATATTTATACTTCCTTTTTGCAACGGGATTCCAAACATCTCTAGTGGGCCCTACTTCTAGTCTAGAAAGAAAAGCTCTGAGTATTTCTAGGACTAGCTTTAAATTTGAACAGCTGACGGACTCATTAGATCTTGCCTTTGGATTTTTCACAAAAAAAATCACCAATAAAGGTGGAAAAAAACAAGGCATTTTCTTAATTTATGTTTACCCATAAAACTCAAGAATCCTATTTTACACGGCTGTCAGAAAAAAAAAAAAAATTCTTCCTGTTTCAGGTAGAGTGAAATTTGAAATTTTGAGAGGCTGTGTGGGACAAAAGCTATTTTTATGGCATGCTTTTTATATGTGATGCCTACAGTATTGTTGGGAATAAATACTAGACCTAAGGGATGAATTTCTCAGCTGGTATAAATCAGCACAGCCGACTGATCTGAATAGGGCTACGGTGGTTTATGTCCGTTGGGGATTAGCCCCACACAGGCTTTGTAAGATTTCTAAAGTTAAAGAAACAGGCTTGCTCTGTGTTCAGGTGCTGAAAGAAAGGGGCAGTTATGAGCACAGATTAATGTAAACCACAGCATTAAATGACAAACTACAGAATGTCTGGAGGGCTTAGAGGCTGATTGCAAAGATCTACTACTACATTTGTTGAGAAAGCCAGAAAATTGCAGCCTCTAGACACATACTTTTATATATATACGTATGTGTACGTACGTGTTCCGCAGTTCCTCAGTAGGTGGCAGTTAAAAGCCCAGATGAGATCTGCAGTCGCCATTTAGGCAGCGGCACCAGCAGAGGCTGGAGTCAGTCCATCCCTAGAAGCCGGCGGAGAGGGCGAGCGGCTGCGGCCGAGCCCACCCGCGACCACGGGCCCGCGGGCGCTGGGGCGCGGAGCCCCCCACCCTCCCACCCACCCTCCCGCGGGGCGCGGAGCAGGGGCCGGCCCGGCAGCGGCCGCCGCCGGCGCCGGGGACAGCAGCCCCCCGTGTCGCGACAGGGGCTCCGTTCTGGCGGAGGAAACCCGGGGCAGGGCGGGTGAACAGCTGCTGCGATGACAGGCGGAGACTGAGGAGCGTTTGGAGCTTTCTGTCCTGACACAGGTAAATTTTTCCGCGTTGTTTTCCTGCATCATCCCCTACAATACACACAGCTTTGCACTGAGATGAGGGGTCTTTATTTCCTTCGGCCAAAATCCACAGCGCTTACTCGGGCAAAATTTCCGCTGAAGTCAATAGAGTTTTGCGTGAGTTATGACTCCAAGATTTGATCTAAGCATCTATTTTATGTACGGAACATGGCATGCTAGAAGCTGGGGCTGGCAAGGAAGCCAGAGGCCGGTCATATGCATACTGACCTGTTAAACAACATAATTTTTCTGTGTGCTGGGATGCTAGCAACATCTTCATAACCTTTTTTTTTTTTTTGAAGTGTCTTTCATTAAAACTTAATGTGCTGAATTTTGCCCTAGCTTGTACTGCTGCCATTGCAGTGTTTTAAAGACAGATTAAATGTTTTAAGCAACAAAAAAAGAAAGTTACATTTTAACTTATATGATGAAAGAATACAAAAAATGTTGAGTCTGTATAAAATAATACCAGGTGTTGCTTTCTTTGAAACAAATAAAACTTTGCAGCATTCCACTGACAGGTGGGCAATATTTTATTTGTTCAGTAGACTGAGCCTCTCCCAATTGAAGGAAAGAAAACAAATCATGAAAGGCCATTCTTGAGTGTCTGTGAGTGACTGAATTCAGATTTGATGATACTTCCTCTCTTGCTATCTTCCCCATGAAATATGGGATGCTTTCTATGCTGCAGCACTCAGTCACAGCGGGGTGAGCCCAGAATGGAACAAGATTTGATGTATTTTATTTTTAAAGCATTTTCTGAATGTCTTGTTTTCATGAGTACTTAGTCATACATGGATACATAGATGCCTTTTTATCAATGCATGCACGTATATGTATGTAATGTGTGCATCCCCATACCTTTCCATGTAAACAAAGCTGTTGCCACTGATTGCTGTTACACCTTTGCCAGGGTTTACAGTTTACTGTATCTGGAATGTTTGTAGGTCTCACAGTTTTTAATTCTGGGTCAGAGGCTATTTTGGCTTCCCCTTTAACACCCCCTCACAGCCCCCTTCTTTTACTTTTCTGACTGGTGGACTTCCCTGATGTTCAGCAGCTGTCCCCCGGAATCCCGCTGTGCTTACGAAATGCATCAGTGCCCAATTCTCACAGAAGGGCATCTGTGCCATTGTTCAGGGGCTATGAAATGGGGTATCACCTCCGGGTTTTATGCTCTCTCTCACACTGCGCGCCACATTTCTGAGGCTCTTGCATGAAGAACTGTCCAAACTTGGACTCATGGAAGTGGGAATAGAGAAGAACAAGTGGGTATAAATAGGCTGTGAACACACTTAGGCTGGAAGGCTTCAAACCATTAGAGCAGCAAGCTTCCCTTACATTCTTGTTGAAGTGATTCAAAGAAAGGGCTCTAAATGCTTTTCAGTTGGAACTTGATGGAAGGGATTATGTGAAATGTTTCCTACAACGACAAATAGTTGGATTTTATAATCCAGAAGGTCTCTTTCAGCCCTAATACCATTCATGCTTTTCACTTGAAGTTGCCTGCATTAAAAAGTCTCTTTACAACACAGTTTTCCACACATCTCACAGCAGAGACAAATGAAAGTACATTTTCCTCTTCTAGGTTGTGCTGCACACCAGCAGACACATAAGGTCTGATAGCCATCAGGCTGAATAATAAATATCCCTTTCTCACAGTGTAGAGCAGCACTCTTTGGAAGATGATTTGAGTTCAGAGGCATGGCTCCTTCTGGGCAAGTGATCAAGATTATATGGCACTGCAGCCTCTGTAGTACCAATAAAAATAGCGGATAGTATGTAAACTGATAATGCTGAAGTTGTTACTAGCCCTGTTTCTAGTTTCCTTTGAGGATCACCTGGTAATTTTCTTCTGTGCTAACCAACAAACCTGCCCATGTAAACATCCCACCATCATGTGTGAGAAAACAAAGACTCACATTTTCATTGTGACAGAGTGTGTGCTATTGCCTTAATCGTAGCTTGTCTTAAAAACCCGCAATAAACAGTATTCTGGTTCAAAGATGCTCCCACAGAATGATGGCATTCAATTCCATATTCCCTTTTCCTCTCTTTATAACCCAATTTTGGTTTTGTTTTTGGTTTGGTTTGGTTTGTTTGTTTTTTTTTTTTTTTGTTTTGTTTTGTTTTGTTTTGGTTTGGTTTGGTTTGGTTTGGTTTGGTTTGGTTTGGTTTTTTTATGTCTTTGATTTGATTTACATACTACATTGGATTGCTTTCAATTCATAGTGTACCTCAGTAACTATTTCTGTGATATATAATCAGCTTCATTTGAATGTTCCAGCTCCCACACTGCGTGTGAATATCAGGCCATTTGTACACTTAAACTGAAACAGTATTCAATGTGGGAGATTTGGTTTGGTATGTAGGACCAATTCCAAATGTTTGTTACTTTCCCCTTAATACTTTGTATTACTAGGCCTAATTGAGCAATTATCAGTATTACACAGAGGAAGAAAAATGGCAATTCTTGTGAAACATGAATACCTAATTTTAGCAGTATTACTTTCCCTTTTAAATGAACAAGTTCTTTAAATGTATTAGGGGGGGGAAAATAATGGAAAATATTTTCCATTTATTATTTTTTACTTTCCACCCAAAAAAGGTTTCTAAGTGTCAACAGATACTTTCACTACATTCTTATTGTTGCAAAAAAATGAAAATGTTCATTAACTTATCCTGCCTTGCCGTTGGAAAGACAGTGGAAAAGCTACATCGAGTGACAATGAAACTGTACATACGAATTTAAACAAAACATACTTTATTTTTCCTTTCTGAGAAAACAAATACTGATTTGTTTTCAACAACAAAATATTACTACTCTATAATTCTTGAAATGAGTATCAGAGGAAGACAAGAGCAAAATGTCAAAAAGGGTGTGCTAGGTCTGTGACAAATGTGCTTTTCCACTCACATGAGGTCAGGAGCACCTCCTCTCAAACACATAAATTTGAGTTGAATGAGATGGAAATCAGTGTCTGATTTCTGTGACTGTGCAGGGCTGCAGTATTCTACGGCAGCAAAATGGAATCACCCTTGCTCTGGTTGCATGTGATGGAATTGGTTTTAGTTAAATATGAGTGTCACTGAAGTCATGACAGCCTTTTAGCATCCTTTTTTAAAGTAAAGCAGCCATATGAGAAGAGCAAATCCATTCCTGGACTGCAGATGTTTCCTTTCCAAAATGTCCAGTAGTTGTGACTTAATTTGAAGCTAAGAAAAGGAGAGTTACCTTCTTTTATTTATTTTTATTTAATTTGATTTCTTTTTATGTTCTTCCCTGAAAATCTGGACTGACAGTTTTTATCTGTTCTGAAAAAAGTTAGTAATTTAAATAATCAAATACTGGTTACCATAAATAGCTAAAATATTGCTGTAAACCCAACTAAAAAAACCATTAGTTTTCCCAATTTGTTCACTCAAACATTAAAACGATACCATGTGCTACTGAGAAAGTATTTTTCAATCTTTAGAACATAGTTTTTACAATTTTGTTTACTGCTAAGAGGAAAATAAACATGAATTGAGAATAGACTTCTCTAAATGCTAAACCTACCTTTCTCACTTCAGAAAAGAAAGTACTGAAATCTGGGATAGCGATGAAGATTCGTATGAAATCGCTTTTCTGTTTAAAAAGTAAAAAAGTTTCAGTAAGGAAAGCAGTTTTATGAAAGTCCTGAGGTGCAGATTTGCAAATTAATTCTTAAAGAAAATACACTTTACAGTATAAAGAAAAATAAATAAAAATTTTCCCCCCAAGCCAGGTTATGATAAATTTCATATCATAAACAGGAAATAGCTCCTTATGAACATTTAGAAACTCCTATCACAAAGCTGTCATTCCTGTCTCATACCCCACAGTTACACTTAAATTGCTGGTTTTCAAACCCTTCTGATTTGCAGAAAAATAGTGGAAGCACAGGCTTCTTACTAGTTTCTGGAAGCATATCAACAATGGGATTGCATTACTTAATTACTTGTCAGGGGTCCTTCGGGGTCCTGAAACCCACTGCATTAACCTATTCACAAGTTACTGCCCAAGTTTTACCAGTTGTAAAATGGATTATATTGGCTGATAGGTTTTTTGGAGGACTTACCATGCACGGCTCAGACAGCGAAACATACTGATATTCTCAGTGTAAACCACGTTGTTTTGAATGGGGTATTGTTTGGGCTGTGGAAGATTATCAGAAATGTTCCAGTGGTCAGGATAGCAATGAAGCTATCATTTCCAGCCTGGCAAGGAAAATTAATTATAGAAATTACATTCGTAAGTCAGAAGCCCTCAACCTTTTAAGAATTCTGTTTCTGTAGAAGATTCGTGCAAATAGTCTCAAAATAACATTAAGGAATTGAAGACTACAATGGAAAGGCAAAAGGGCCACTGGTCTTTGCACAGTTTCCTCTGCTGAATGGAAACCAGTCTTCCACAGACACATGGTTCTTCTGGGTAAATACAGACATTTGTATGGAACTAGCTTATTGCCCATGCTTGTTATTGTGAATCTCACAATATATGGAATTTAACATCCAAAGCCTCTAGAGTCAAACGATTATTTGGCAAATTCTCCTTCTTGTGTTTGTTTGTTGTTTTTGTTTTGTTTTGTTTTGTTTGTTTGTTTGTTTGTTTTTTGTTAGTGTTTTGCATGTTTCTAACTTTCTCCATTTAGGAAAGCTTAAAAGCCACACCTTTTTCCATAAGACGGAGAACAAAAAGTCACCTGTTTCGACTAGTGGATATCTGGAGAAGTGGAAATTCACTACAGTACGTAAAGTTTTGGCTAACTGACAAAAAGAGTATTCTGCTGTTAAAAAAACAGAGGGGCTGAAAGGTCAGACTGAGTCTCTAATACTGCATTTGTATGAGTGACGAATTTCAGTTAATCTACCCAACGGCATAATGTCCTACGTGTTGAAAGGTGAACATACAACATTGTAAGCTGATCTTCCTTCTTCTCTCAGGTAAATTAAATCTGTTGAAAACTGAGAAAAAACTACAGTGTTTGGTCTGGTAAACTGGGCAGAAAATTCAAAAAATCAGCCCCATGGGAAGTTAAATACAGTGCTGTTATCTTGACTTTTTTATTTCTATATGTGAATTCACTAATACATACACATACATACACTACACATACACAAAGGCTTCTGAGTCATTTCTTGCTGAGTTCTGACCATAAGAATTTAAAAGATTAAGATACTGGCTTACCAAAATGCTTGAATAGATAAATAAATATAAGAGTAGTTCCACTTAAGACAATGAAGTATCTAACATGCCTAAAGCAAAGCCTGAATTTAAACTGGAACTGAGTCATGAAATTATCCTTTTTTATTTTTAAGATTATCCAATCCAATAAACAGGAAGTGACAACCAGTAGGACACCTGTCCACTGTGGGTAAACTTAGCACATTATTGCTGTTTCTGCATCAAAGGAAGATTTTCTCATGTGGTAAGTATGTTCAGAGGTGCTAAATCCTATTTTATGTTAATGGTTCATTAGTATGTACCTGTTACTCAGGGGTCATTCCTGAAAGCTCTTAGGAAACAACATAGCAAATCATTTAAGTGTACTCCTAATTCTAAAGCTCTTTGTTGGATCAGGTCCAGTACCTTCTGCATTTTCTGCACATGAACCCTCAACAGAGAAGGAAATCCACAGACCCTTCTGCATCATTCATTCTTCCATTGCCAGTCCTGCCTCCTTCTTCAACAAGCAATGCCACTTGGATTAAACCTAGTTTCAGAAACCCATGCTACCTATTGCCCCTGCAGAAAACTCATTTAATTCTCTCCCCTATCTTTTTCCAGTTCTTTCTTGCTTAGAGAAAGTATTTCTGCCACAATCTCTGTTGGCTGTATCTTAGCCCAAGAGCTAGGTAAAGATTTTCTTACTGTGACAACTACGAGTTTGGGTTTTTTGTTTTACCAAGGGATCTTTTTGATATGTTAATTTACAGGGCTTCAAACAATTTTGGAAAGACATTGTTTTGACAGCAATATTTTCAATGTCACTGTGGTGAAAATATGACAATTTGCTAAAGCAGAGCACAGCATCTATGACCACAAAACAATATTCAGGCTGGATTCTACCTCCTTTACATACAGATGTTCTTAGGACAATATTCTACTTCTGCAAATACAGAACAAAACTGCATCAAATTATTCTGAAATACTCTTGTCCTTTCTATTACTCTTCTATGTACTGCTCTGACAGCAATATGAAGGGAATCTACAAAACCTCTTAGAGAACCTCTCTGAACTTTCTAAAATTGATATCCTGGTTTAATACCTAGATTGTATCTGCAGTGTAGCAAATGCATTTGTAATGTAGTGAAGAATCTGTCCCAAAATGCAAGAAATACTTTAGCCAATATTGAAAAAAAAGGAGCAAATTTAATTTTTCTTCCCTTTTTCTTTTTTAGATATTTGAAACCAAGTGCTATGATCACCTAGGCCAAACTCCCCAGAAGCACACACTTTATTTGATGACATTATGGTCATGCAGGGCAGTTTTAGCTTTCTGTTCTTCCCTCAGTCCCAACAAGCTGTGTACAGACTGAGCCACTATTTTAGTTTCAGTTAGATAATTCTAAATGATGAATTTTCTATGCAAATTCAAACAATTCACGCATTGTAGAGTCTAGCTCTAAAATGGAAACGGTTTCAGTTGAAAAAAATTGAATTTGTAGTTTGAATTTGTGATTCCTATGAATATGTTGAAAAGAAAAACATCTGATTTTTGTCTCATACTTTCAGGTGATCAAATAAATGTTTCAACAAGGACAGTGTGTTAGAGAAAAACAGCAGGTTTATGACACACAACTTTATTTATTTTTCATTTCCATAGAAGATGTCATTTTGTCTGTAACTCAGTCTGGCTTGCTTCCTTCTGGCTGATGATATAAAATATAAAGTTAGCATTGTTTTTCCCTCAATCTATAGCTGAGAAAAACTCTCTTTCATTTTCTACCATGACCTATTATGCCATCCAGTTTTGTACTGACTCTGAAAATAAATCTGGAACTCCAAAAGCTTCTGTTCATTCAGATCTTTTTTTGGTCACACTTGGTAACTTCTACACAGATCTTAAAGTCAGATTATTAAGTTGTTTTCAGTGTCCAATAGTTGAATGCTCTTTGTCCAACATGACTTTTTAGATTTGAAAAATTTCCATGTAATTTCTAACTTCTGCATCTATGTTGATCTGTTAGAAAATCACTGATTTTCTTAATCTTTCCTCCACTGAAAACAGACTTTATATCATGACTGCTATATATGCAGCCCTTATAAATTGTGTTCAATTAGACCACAATGAAGGCCAGTTTAAAAAAAAAAAAAAAAAAAACAAAAAAAAAACAGATGAGAAGAATGTGCACAATTTAAGTACTTTCTTAAGGACTTTGCTGAACGGGGACCTGCAGGTCACACGAACAGTGCCCATCTTCCTTTTCACAATAACAGTACATTGCACGATGTTAACTCAGCTTTCTTTCAGTAAAGTAGTGTGTTGGTGCCTGGCCATTCAGTGCTGGAAATCTTGCAGTATATTTAATCTTCACTGATCATGAGGTATTGAAATTTTTTTGAAACACCATTCTTCACCATCCTTCAGTGTTAATTGAAATCAGTGTTAACACTGGTCAAGATTCAGTGACCAATTGCATAAAATTTTGTCTTGGAGGGACTCCTATCTTGAGCTTTTAGACTAATGCAAAACCAAAGCTATTACTATGAAACAACAGCAAAACTGGTGATGGAAACCAAGAAGTTTCTGGAAGCAACTAATTTAAATGATTATCAGCATTTTATCATCAGTAGCATAATCACCTTTCCTAAATCAATGAGATGCTTTTCACAAAGTTATCATTAGGTGGAACAGCTGTAGGTAAAGAATTTTCTTTAGGAATAAAACAAGATACTTTGTTCAAACTGCACTGAAGACAGTAAAAAAACTCAGAGAAATCTTAGGTCAAACGGCTTAATGATCCCTGGCACTGTAGAAATACCCTGAACAAAATACAGTCAATTGCTATCTTCAGATTCCATGTCACACTATTATGTGAAAGACTTTTTTACATTTCAAGACTTAGGTTTTGGGTTTTTTTTTTTTTTTGTTTTTTTTTTTGTAAGGAGAAGCTATGATCCAAAATATCTGACACACTTCCCTATATTTTTGACCTGTAAAGGAATCTAAACAGTTATAAAAATTATGAATAAATATTATTTAGTGTAATATTTGTTACCCAACATTTTCTGGATAGTACCTGCTAGCAAAAGTATCATAGACTTAAATTCCAGTGTGAGGAAGTCAACAATATATAGATAAACATTTTGAAAACAAGGCATGATGTCACAATAACTTATGAAGCTGAATTTTTGATATGGAAAAGAAAATTCAGGAAGCATTTTTAATCTAAATGCATCAAATAATTTTAATTACCCTCATTAGTACTGTCAATCCATGCATAGTCTATTGATGTGACTTGGCCTGTCATCTTCCTATTTTATGTAAACATGAAAAGCAAAAAGAGAAGGTATTTTGAATGGATACTTACCTCTGGCCAAAGCTTTGCTCAAATATCAATGACAGGCTTTAACAGTATGAAAATATTCTTCTCTGTTAACATGGATGACAAGAACAATACCTGCACAAAAGCAAGAGCTGACATAAACCAAAAGTTCTACAGCATTTATGCAGTGAAGAAGACATGATTTACACTAGCTGATCATCAAGAAGCAGACTTTCAAAGAACATTTTGTTCAACGTGAGAATTTAAAAAGTACTTTTGACATGGTCTAAAACCTCATGTTGCAAGAAAAAGCTGCTTTAACTGTCATTATTTTGTCTTCAAACATGTCCAAATTTCCACTGATTTGAAAAGATCAAAGCAAAGCAAGGAAAGAAAAGGAAAGAAAAAGAATGAAAAAGCAAGTCTTATCGTAAAGGATGAAGACACTGGAAGTAAAAAAATACCCATTCTTTAATTCCACATTCATTGGCAGATAGGGTGAAAATTCTCCCTGAGAAATGCCTGTTTAAATACATAATGGACAACAAGTAAAAACTCCATGAAGAGCTCTCTTTTCCTCCTCTATGTAAATAATGTGTATCTTTTTCACCTCTGATATGGTGAAATGGCCATTAAACTGACAACCATGCTGAAATCCAGCTTACCTATAACTACATTTAGTATTATTCTTTACCTTGGACCTTGTATCTTTGCATAGTGGTGTCATCACTGGATAGCCTGGTAGGCTATTAATTTAAATTGATGCAAGCTTTTGAACTAAATGCATTGCTTGTATTTTATTGGATTTTCATCATAACAATGACAATATAAACAGAGACACCACCTTAGAAAGAATTTAAAACCTTAAAAGAAAAAAAATTAAATCAGGGACTGACAGGAGATGATTTTACCTAGGGAAAAAGAGCTTTCAGAAAATTAAGACATAGCATCTGACAATTGCTGTGTTGCATATCAAACTGACTTCTCAGTAGGACATCATAAAAACTCGAGAACTGGATCAGTTAAGATGCAATCAGAGTTTCTGACTCCAGCCAGCAAAGGTAGTATCAGGTTGTTTTATAAGACAAATGCTACACTAAAAGATGCCAGCTAGCTGAACAATTTCAAAGAAATTTGCAACCTGTGACTTTTCATGGAGGTCTAAGTGTGCAGACATGGTGAAAATCTTTTTGCAACAAAACCAAAACTGTGGAAAGACTGGAAAGTGAGCATTTTTTTCTATACCTACATTCAAGTACAAACTGGAAAATCTCACCATCTGTGAGATTCTAATCTTATGTTACTTTAAGGGTAAGTGTTCAAGCAGATTAATTTTTATAAGTTATTTTTCAGCCTCCCTATGCCCTTTACCTGTTATTACATATGTTACTCATGGCTTAAATATAAACATAAGAGGTGAGTCATAAATACAATTGATAGAAGAGTTAGATCATAAAAAATTATTAAACATGGGAGATAACTATGGAGATCTATTTGCTAAATACAGGATCAGTGACATCAATTTAGTCAATGCTAACACACACACATGTGATTAGTCACCTGAAGATCATTAAGAGTTTAAACTATGAAGTGTATAATCTGTAATGTGAGGTGCTTTAAAAATGTTTAAAAATTTTTAAATGCTACTTTTGTTATCACTATATAACAAAATATCTGATTTTATATCAAAATGACTCAATCCTTAAACTGTTTTGTCCTGTCAGAACAACCTTTGAGTTTTTTTACCTGCCATGTCAGAAACAGCTATGGAAAGAATGCAGACCAATGTAAAGGTCTGTAGTTGAGTTTGAACTGGTGGCAGCCTTTTTGTCCCAGTGAATAACCAGTTGAGCTCACCCACAGTAGCTGGGCTAGAGCAACTCCAGCCTTTTGCTAGAGGAGCATCTGCAGAAAACAGAGCTAAGTCAGCAGAGGTATATAGAGACTCACTGACATGCTGAACTTTGCAACCAAACAATAAAAAATGAATGGTATGGATGTATGTTATGAAAAGTAATTGCCTTTTTAAGTGAGGATAGTTTTGTTAAGCTGACACCTCAGAAGATGATAGTAAATTTTCACTGATGTAGTTTGTGAAAGTAGCAAAGGCAACAAATGAGGCTTTATTACACACAAACTGAGGAATAAGTCAGTTTTAAAGTGTGAAAAGCAACTGCTGTTTTCTGTATACAGATTATGAAACAGGCAGGTTCTCAAAGCATGAATCAGAGAGGGTATTATACATCTGAAAAGTCAGACTTCTTTCGGGTTAATTTTTCCATACCCATGTTGGCCAGAATATCGAAAGCCAATGAAACAATGTGGTACTTTATTTTGTCCTGTTGTGTGCTTTAATTAACATATTTTAAGAGAAAGAATAATCAATACACTATTAAGGTGGTATCAAATGCCTTAACAAATGTACAATTGGTGCTCAAAAGTGAACCACAGTCACACAGAATGATTTTCAGAGATCTGCACAGAGAATACAACCATGTGGTAAAAATTATTTTGGGAAGACTTTCTCTGGTGTGATCAAAAAGCCTTGCATGAGGTTTTTGTTTTGTTTGCTCACAGCTCCTGAGCAGGACAAAAAAGAAAATAAACTGTATTTTTTACCTTGCTAAAACTGAGGATCTTTAGAGCTAACAGAGCTGCATGCGGGACAGGCTAAACAGCAAGTGAGGTTGCTGCTCCTTTACAGCCGCCCCGGGCTGGGGAGCAGCTCTGTGCAGAAGGGCCAGGGGCCACGGCAGGCAGCGAGCCGGGCATGGCCGGCAGCGAGTGGCCCTGGCTGCCCGCCGCGTCCTGGGCTGCATGAGCAGGAGGACGGCCAGCCGGTTGAGGGAGGTGTTAATCCCCTTCTGCTCAGCACTCCTGAGACAACAGCCATGTAGTTTGTCAGGTTTCGGCAGCCCCAGCAGAGGAAAGGCATCAATAAACGGGAGCAAGTTCAGGTGGGGGCACCGAGGTGCCCAGGGCTGCAGTGCTGTCCTGCCCTGCAGGCTGAGGAGCAAGGGCTGGTTCAGCCTTGGGTAGGCACGGTTTGAATAGCAGCCCTCCCCAAAACCTGCAAGAAAGCCATCAAGAAGGTGGAGTCAAACTCTTCACAGTTTTGGACAGTGGGAGAAAGAGAGACAACAGGTATGAGTTGAAACACAAGTAGTTCAGACTAGTTATAAGAGGGGTAAAAACCATGCTGAATGTAATTTAGCAGTGGAGCAAGTTGCCCAGAGAGGCTGTGGGAAGTGCTGGAGGTTTTCAAGCCCTGACAGGAGAGAACAACCTTGTCTGGTCTCATGGATGACCCTGCTGTGACCAGCAGGCTGGACCAAAGGCCTCCTCAGGTCCCTTCCAGCCTGAATTATCCTATGATTCTATGGTCATTTCTGAAGACAGTATGCAAAATCTCCCTAAGCAACAGGTGTGCTCTTCTTGCCACTGTAAATTTTTCCTGTTGACTAATGTGAATCTCTTCTATAATGTAAGCCCATTAATTCCCATTTTTTCCACTACAGATGTACACTCTCCCTCTTTGCAATGACTTACTGTGCTTAAAGATGGTTACCATGCCATTTCAGGTTCCCTTATGTTGTGGTTTAATCCCAGCCAGCAATCAAGCACTACACAGCCACTTGCTCACTCCCTGTCCCCCATAGTGGGACAGGGAAGAGAATAGGAAACAAAAAAAGTAAAACTTATGGGTTGAGATGAAGAGAGTTTAATAGGGAAGAAAAGGAATGGAAAATAATAATAAAGACTATTAGTATTATTAATAATAATACTAGTAATAATATCAGTAGTAATAATAACAATATACAAAACATCTGATGCGCAATGCAATTGCTCACCACCTGTGGATGGATGCCCAGCCAGTCCTCAAGATGTAATGTCCCCTGGCCAACTCCTCCCAGCTTGTATACCGGGTATGACATCATATGGTATGGAATACCCCGTTGACCAGTTTGGGTCAGCTGTCCTTGCTGTGTCCCCTCCCAGCTTCTTGCACACTCCCTGTCTCTGCTGTCAGAGCAGTATGAGAAGCTGAAAAGTCCATGACTTAGTGTAAACACTGCTTAGCAACAACTAAACCATCAGTGTGTTATCAATATTATTCTCATCCTAAATCTAAAACACAACACTCTACCAGCTGCTAGGAAGAAAATTAACTTTATTCCAACCAAACCCAGGACACCTTAGAAGCTTTTTGGATGCTTAATACTTCATGCCATTATGTTCAACATTTCTATTTGTTCTAACTTTTGGGCAACCATATGTGCCATTTTTCTTGGAGATTTCTGAGTATCCTAAAAGCATGAGGTTTAATATAGCAGAGGTATACTCAGCTAGCTTTTCAAATTTTTTTTCTCTACTGTGTATTTCAGTGATTTTCATAGTGAAAATTTTCATAGTACATTTTTTCTCATCATCCTATATTTTATAGGCTACATATTATCTGATTGTGAAAAGCTTAAGTTGCTTCTGAGGTAAAATAGCCACGTTTTTCCCTCTTTCCTTTTTGCTCACAAAATTTATTAAACTGTAATTCTTATGGTAGTTGATTCTGTGCAGTCACCCACAACTCATAAGTTCTACGACTGTTCTGAAAGTGCATGTTTGCACCTCTTAGGTACAGGCTTATTCTCAGTGGAACAGCGTCCTGACAGCTTTTTCTGTTCTTATTTCTTGCTAGCTAGTTTGGGTTAATTCATTTTCTCAGCATCATGAGCTGCTCACCCATTTCCCTTGCTCCTCTGAGGGTTCTCCGTCTTACATAAACACATACATGAGTGTTTTCTCAGACTATCCTTCTTTCCATTCCTTGAATTCTGCTGTCAGTGAGAAACAATTTTGCTTCAGTGCCTCAGGATGAACACTCTTATTTATCAATCTTTGCTATATTTAAAGAAGTCTCTGACTGCAGTGTAGGAGAGATGAAAGGGTGAAGCTGCCGTTTGCCTGAAGCCAGGTTGGGTAGGCAGACCTGTGCCAGCTCTCCACTTTGCCTCAGGAGCAGCATCTCCTGTTGAACTGATTATTCTGCCTACAGTGTGGCAGATGAAGAAGTACGAGTCCTTCATCCAACACATTATGTAAAGACAGATGTTTTCAGCTTACTCAGACATTAGAACTAGGACAGAATAGGATGCCCTGGACAAGAAGGATAACAAAATCAGAGTATGCTTGAAGAACAAAATGAAGACATTAGTGCAGCATGGGTAGCCACAGCTTTTATCTAACTGCCACAGGCAGCAACAGCATCAAAGATGCAGAAGCACAAAATTCAGTGTGGGCTGGCAACTGGGGTAAGATTGTGGGGGCTCCACTTACATCCATACCTCTACAGCACCACTCCTATTCTCCCCATGCTAGGTAAGTAAGGGGTAACTTAAAATCCTGTCCCACAATGCAGTTGCTTCTGCTGAAGAGAAGAGATACCTTGAAAGCTTTCCTTATTCACTAAGAAATCCCTTTGGTTGTTCTGGATTAGCTTCTACCCAGGCAACACTGCAACAAGAAAAATCAAACACCTGGCACTATTAGGGCACTTGGATCATGTTCCATATTAAATCAGCCCACTTTCCTAAGAACCAATAGAGGTGCAGCAAATTTTGCACTATGTTCCACACGTACTTTTTATATATCTAACATCGGTCTGAAAAGTAACAATATCCTAGATTCTATTCAACTTTTAGGGTTCAGTTTTTTATACATTTGCTTAAATCTCACTAAATATAAAAAGAAACTTGTACATGATGTGTACCTAATGAGCTGCTACTAATGGGAGGACAAATTCATCTTCCCATTTATTTCAGTGAATTATAAAACAACTACAGTTTGCAACCCTGTGAAATCTTTACCATTTCTGTTATTTAATAATGATGACAATATTTGTGGTCCTAGTGTTTACAGACAGGTTTTGTCAAGACGAATGGACTTCAGGGATCACAGTTTTGTGACCTTCGACATACGCATTTGCCAACCTTGCCAATATAAACCACTTAAAAATGTGAAGATGCCTGCACAACCTTTTTGATAAGTGTAGCATTTGTGTGTAGCACATTCTGATAAGTGTAGCATCCAGTCAAATGTCATCTGCTGTGAAATAAAGATTAGAATGAGAAAGCTGACTGAACTTGAACAATCTCAGTTTAGCAAAATGTACTCCTTGACCTGAAATACATGTAGAAAACCATACTGAAGTGGGGTTCTCACTCCCAAAGAATTAGAAACAAACCATACTTGGTGCTATTTCTGAGTAAGCTGCACATTTATCTTAGATATCCATCAAGAGTTGTTGTCCAATAATAGTGGAGATAAATTCCCTAGCTACTGAAGAGATGTCATATTTAGAGTAACTGACTGTCATACACATGTATATACACATATTTCAACAATGATTTGAGGAGATCTGTTTTAGAGACAGAGAAGTAATTCAGCCCCTACAATTTTTTCATGCCCTGGCCTTGCTGAAAGATTCTCAGATGCAGCTTTTTATTTCTGGGGATATTAGTCCTGCAGGAAGAATACCGAAACTCACAATGTTAATTTAAAATAAGTGATGAAGATGGTCTCTTGTTAGCAGTCCAAGGTGGGTTGCAAATCCTAAATTTAATATTGAAATAAATAATTCTGTAACCCACTGCAAGTCTCCTTAAATTATTACAACTAGTATGCCATCACATGCATCACATTCATTTCTCTTATTGGGAAAGATATCACTATGTGCACTCTCCACATGTACACATATTAATATCTGTTTTGATGTTTTTGTCATTTTCTTTCCCTAGATTTTGCCCTCTAGCTGAGCAAGAGACACACTGACAAACATGCCTGAGCAAAGCAATGATTACAGGGTTGTTGTGTTTGGAGCTGGAGGAGTGGGCAAAAGTTCTTTGGTCTTGAGATTTGTGAAGGGCACTTTCAGAGAGAGCTACATCCCTACCATTGAAGACACCTATCGACAGGTGATCAGCTGTGATAAGAGCATATGCACGTTGCAGATAACTGACACTACAGGAAGCCATCAATTTCCAGCCATGCAACGTCTTTCTATTTCTAAAGGACACGCTTTCATTTTGGTTTACTCTATCACCAGCCGACAGTCCTTGGAGGAACTCAAACCGATCTATGAACAAATATGTCAGATTAAAGGAGACGTAGAAAGCATTCCAATAATGCTGGTGGGGAACAAAAATGATGAAAACCAAAATCGAGAGGTGGACAGCAGTGAAGGAGAAGCCATGGCTAAGAAGTGGAAATGTGCCTTCATGGAGACCTCTGCCAAGCTGAACCACAACGTGAAAGAGTTATTCCAAGAATTGCTCAACCTAGAGAAACGCAGGACTGTGAGTTTACAAATTGATGGCAAAAAAAGCAAGCAGCAGAAAAGGAAAGAGAAGCTGAAAGGCAAATGTGTGGTGATGTGAAATTGCACTGTCAGAAGTCAGTCGTGCAATCTCACCTGTCTGACAATACCTGTGTAAAACCTATAGAGAGCAAACAACCATGCAAGACCCTATTTATTAGAATCTGATTTAAAAGAAATATTTGGAATTCAAAAAAAAAAGAGTTACTGTTGTTAATATGAAAAAAGCCAACATTTTAAAAACCATGTAGTCTAGCTATAAGTGAAAAAAAAATCAAGAATTGAAAGAAAGATAGGCCAGGATATGTAATTTTGTAATTTACAAGAGAAAATAGATTTCATCCTTAGCATAATGTGAAAGATTTAGAAAGTCAACTTCGTATTATTTACATTTGCATATAACTACAAGAGAAGGCAATGTATAACGTTAGAAGAAAAACAAATAAATGGCTGTGAAGAAACCTAGAACATATAAATGCATGCTGGGTGGTGTTATCATGTCCTTTAAAAATGCTATGGACAAACAATTCTGTGCAATTTTCATTACCGACTGGTGGGGCAGCATGCATAAATTAGTCTTGGATCTGCCAAATAAACAAACGTTTTCACACTAGAAGGAAGTGTGGGGGTAGCACAGTTAAAAGGAACAGATATTCCCTCTACCCCCCAGCATGAGATTGTTTTTCCAGGATGATGCGGTGTTTGAACTGAAGGATGAGGAAAAGCCAGCCCCTGTAGGAGAGGTGGAGATCATCTCCATTTCTGGACCCATCGCTTCAAGAATGAGCTGTGCTTCTGGCCCCAGTATATTTCAGAAGAGCAGAGGTTTGCCTGTGGAGAATGTCAGATTGTATAAAAAATGGTGTATATATACAAACAGCAAGTTTCACCAGGGAGGACTGGCTGGGCACTCCCCTACAAAAGTCTGTGGTAAAGTCTCAGTTCAAATGCTGCTGATGGTTAAATGAACACATGGTGTGATTAGTGAATGAATGGAAGCCCTGTTGAACCAGTTGTACCCCTGGAGAGGGGTCAGTGTAGTATACAAAGTTTTTATTCAAATTACCAGATTAGCTGAGTGAAATGTCTTTACATTATTATATTCCAATTAGGATAGTTTTGCATTCATGCACTACTAGATCTATTGCCTTTATATTGTCTGAAGGGTTTTATATTTTCCATCTAAACTCATGATTTGAACTGTTGTGACTATTTATAGAACCAAATCCTGTATCTAGAGTTAGGGCCCACAAGAGTCCCTAAAATAAGATTTGCGGGGATAAATACTACAGGATTTGGTATATTAAGAGTTGCAGTCAGTACTGTGTTACAATGCAATACAAAGTTCAGAATAGAAAAAAAAAGGTATAAACCACTCTGTCAGGGGAAACAGCTCTTCTCAAAACCTTTGAGAGGGGAAAAAGTGTACAAAATGGGAGCTCTTCTGGATCTCTTTCCGAAGCTTTTTTAAAAACTAATATGTGAATGAGTAAAGTGTGTATCCTACTGATAACAGAGACCACCTAAGATAAAAGAAGCACATACATTTTTTAAAGGACACATCAAAATTGTATAAGCTACAATTTGCACCTTAGGAGCTGCTTTGAAATAACAAGAACAAACCACCATATTTTTGGTAAATGTTTATGTCAAAATCATACTATGGGAAATGAAGCCAAGTACTAGTATTATTAGCATGCATGCTGTTCCATAATAAATATCTTCTAGGAGCTGTTCAGATGCAGTATTTGCATTAAAACTTGTTACCTTGTTCCGCTCAGAGTTATTGCGTGTTTACCTTCCACCTTTCAAAAAAAGTGTAAACGTTTCACAGGTAGTGTGATAGTATACATTTCTTCGAGCAAGAATTGCTATCAGCACTGTCTAGAAAGGAGCACAACTTTTCACATTCACTCAGAAAAAATTCTGGCACCATTAAAATCAAGCATGAAACTGCTACTGATTTCAAATAAGACAGAATTTTGTGTGTTTACTTCGTTAGAAGAGAAATTTGGTGAGAGCATGAAAAAAAGATAAAGCTCTCCCTTAAGAATAAATTCCTGGTTGTTACGCAAAGTTTTTTCTCCATAAGTCTCAAAACACTTTACAAAAAAGACAGTACCATTATCTTAACTTCTCAGGTGGTGAAATTGAGGCATGAAGAGAAGAAGCAACTGCACATAGGTTACCCAGCAGGTTAGCGGCGGAGATGGGAACAAAAGTAGATCTCAGTCCCAGTCCAATGCTCATTCTGTTCGGTCGGACTGTCTCTTCACATTCTGACACAGTTTCTAGAGCACATAAAGAAAACTAGTATGGTTTATACTGTTAAATGCATGTCCTTCTTGTTAGTCTGTCAATAGTTCAAGCACTAATTCCAGATCAGGGACACAAAACATGTAAAACCACTACATTTAGTAAGACTTTTATAAATGTTTATACATCTACTCTGTTTATAAGCAAACAGCTGATGATGCTCATCTTCACAGCATTGGATTCCACTAATGAAACTGGAAAACCAAAAGAATGATCACACTTAAGAAGTAATGAGTCATGTACAGAGGTCAGCAGTAAAGAGGTCTCCCACTGATGCTAACACACCGGTGCCAAAGGTTATCATGCATGGCATATGCCTCAGCAACCAGCATGGAATAATGATAGAAACTCAAAATAAAAAAGGCCATATAAATACAAACATCCTTTTAACATTAATAGTTTAACTGGAGGAATCATTTTCATGATAAATAATCTTGTAGAAGTAGAATATAGGGGATCTGAATTACTCAAAAGGACTTCAAGAATATTACAGGCTGAAATTTGGCCCTGGACTTCTTCTGAATGTACCTCATAGCAAGAAAAGAGCGATTGTATGGCAAAGGTGGAAATAAAGCAAGCAGCTACCAGGTGTTAGGCTCGAGGACCAATTCCTTTAATTCCCAGTTAATTCCTCACCTGCTACATAATAAGCCATGAATTATTTCATGGACTTGCATGTATCGAAGCAAGGCCAGGACAGAAGCAATATTACTCATGGACCACAGACTCGAAAGAGAACATATTTTATACCCTTGCATTGTCATCCTAGTTTATACTACTATATTTTACATATCTTGCATACTTGTGAGCTGGTTTAAAACATTTGTTTTGCTCTTACTTATATATATATTTTTTTTTAAATACAGGAAAAAGCCTGTAACATAAATTAAAAAAATATACAGATTTGTTACATTTTGTGTTCTATTTGGGAATGTGATAGCAGTATAATAAACTCTTTAAAATGTACAGAAAAATATGACATATTTAAAACTTGTAAGATCTGCAGTGAATTTTTGCACCCAGAGAACCTGTTCTAGACAAAATGACTCTTTACAACGCATGAATTTTATATGTATATATGAAATATTAAGATATATAGTTATAATGAAAATGTGTTGTTGCAATTTCATTAGAAAATATTTTATTCAGAAACTCTGGATATGAATTCATTTGTGCCTACAAGTTTCTATGTTTCTGGTGATGTTCTGAACATACAAAATAAAGTTTTGAATTCAAACACAAGTTTGGAAGGAGCCTTGTTGGTGCCTGCATTGTGTTTGTTTCATAAGTACATTAAATATACATTTTTTAGAAGTTGTGAAGACAATTCTCCATATCAGAATAGATTCTTGTATGTCAGGTAGTGTCCTAAAGTCTTCAGCTATACAAATAAGACTCCTGAAAAGTCTTTGGAGAATTGGAGCTGTATTATCTTACCTAACATATACCTTTCTTTATTATACTGTGGCAAACATCTACATTTTCAAAGCAATCTGCTTTCATAGAACACAGATTATCAGAGGGTGTTTCTTGTGGTCATCAAAAAAGCAAAATAGTTCTGGAAGCCAGGCTATATTTTATTATTTACTTTAAAATAGTGACAGATAAAATTTTGTGCTTGTGCAAAATTGAAACTTACTAGATAGATCCTACTATTCCTCCTCATGTCTACCAAATTCATGATTTTTTTGCAAAATTTCCTACTACTACATGTTATGTTACCCACTGTTGCAAAAAAAAAAAGTCAAATACAATACTTCAACACTTCTTGCAATTCAGAAAATGTGATAACAGTTGTTCAGTTAAATAATCATTTCTGTATATAAGCAATAATTCATATTCAACAGAGGGAGAGGTCAACAGACAAGCTTAAATACTTAGGCACACTGGCAAGTGTTTAAACCAGTGCTGAAATATTGAGTACTGCATGTAAATTTCATATCATTGTGAAGTAATTGGACATGGCAGCCCACACAGCTTTTTATTTCTAGTAAAAGACACCCTAGAACTCCTAATAATTAATATTACTAATTTTTTTTTTCTTCTAAGACACCATCATTTACTATGTTTCTCCTGATACTAACACAGCTTACTGTGGAATGGTGGATGTGCCAAGTCATTGTCCTGGGTTTTGTACAATATAGTCAGCAAGTGTTTTACAGATGTTTGCCTTGTCAGAAACACCACAAGCATTATAAAATTTGCCTGCCTCTAAATTTTTTGTTGTTGGTTGATACTCCTGTTTCCCACTGGAAAATATTTTCATTGTTAACGCGTACCCTCATTCAAAGTTGTGAATATGTGGTTGCCACATTTAGTTCACTGGTATTTTAACTGGTATGTCCCACCCAACATCTACATACATTTTCTAATTAATCCATGTTTATTTCATGTAGTCAATGATTAGTGGCTAAAGTCCAACTCAACTAAAACTGCGAAGAAAAAGAGAGCAGAGCTTGGGTACCTTTGAAAGTATGTACCTGGATGTTCCATGTGAGGGATACAGACTCTTCTTTAAATTAACCAGAGGAATATGGGATCAGAGAAAGCATTAAGACTCTCCTGTTTCATACAGTTTACCTTGGTTGAACACTACTTTTTATAATGAGTCATAGTGGACCTGTTGAAAATCATAATGGAACTGAAGTGCAAAGGAACATTTGTTGTTCAGTCAGATGTATTTGTTCTTCATTCAGATACAAAGAAATGGCCCACAATGTATCGTACAAATGCATTTCTATCCTGATGCTCTGAAAGCTGTGGATGACAGTGTCTGTCCCATGAAAGCTGCCATTGTATTTGTATTAATTTCAGCAGAAAAAGAAGGAAATAAAGAAGAAGAGGTGTTTTTCCATAAGGGCTGCATGGCAAATACTTTTTTCCATATATAAAAGGAGAAGAATCATTTTTCATTAGCTTACAGAGAGAGATGGGGAGACTACTCTAACATACATCTGCTTCACAGCAGCTTTTGCTCAGTGCTGTTTTAAAGACCCTTTGTCTCTGCTATTTCCCTTCTTTTTTGTTTCAGTTCCTGCTGCTGGTCAGCTTGGTCCTTAAAAACAGACAATCAACTGATTTGATAAATTGTTAAAGATTAAGCACTCTTAAAATCACAATATAATGGCACTGTATACTTAGGCATATGAATTTAATTCCAGATTTTACCTGTGGTCCACCTGTCCTCTGCGCAGTTGGGTCATTGTAATGAAGAGAGAAGGAATATAGTTGGGGAGTGAAGGAGGGGGCAGAAAGTGGGAATGTCAGAAGATTTTACATGAACTTACTATTTGTCAGGAAATTCTGACATCAACGAGGACTCTTAAATGTATTTTCAAAGGAAAAATCAATATTCAGTGGTCATGCTGAGCTGCACTAATGAACACTGTTGTTCTGGACATCACAACTGTTGGTTACACAAGGAGAGCAATTGCTGCTCACCCCGTGATGTAGTCAAAGCTGTAACTCCTTATAAAAGCAACTCTACACTGGAAAGTTAATTTATATGCCTGTATAGGAAAACACATTCTCTAGCCACAGGATTTTAGTTCTCTTTTCTTTCCTTTTTGATCCAGTGGGGTCTCAGTTCTTCAAAAGCAGAAACTTCTGGTGGATGTTGAAAAACACCATGCAGCCCTTCACTCAGTTAAGCAGATAGGCACCTATGGAAAGAATCTGCAAAAAATGGGAAAGTGACTAATCAGTTACTTCAGCTGAGAAGTGGGCATCAGGGAAGAGAAGAGCGGGTGTGGTTCTCTTTCCCACTACACGGGAAGAGGCAGATGTTTTCCTCAGTGAGAGGAGATGACCTCTACAGCCATGACCACTCTGCAGCATGAACACCAGGTCCTTTCCTTTGACAAACCTCACACTGATTAAGGCTTGTGTTTTTACAAAGAAATTTAGAACTGCCTGGAACAACAAAGTCTAATATAACATCAAGGGAGAGCAAGGTAGTTTTATAGAAGCACGTCTGTAAGTGTCCAAATAGTAATCTCTTTATATATGGCTCTGTGAAGAGCATGTTCACATACCAACAAACAGTGAAAGACTGTGTTAGAAGAAAGAGGCAGGATTATGGACAGTGGATTGTCTGAGGGTGCTGAATATGGGGAGATGAATGTGTATCATTTCAGTGGTAATACTTAGGAAGGAGGAAATAAAGAAGGAAAAAAGTCAACTGCATATACTTGGCATTATCCTAATAATAAAATCCACTAGGTCACAGAAAAGTCACTCAGAGCAAGCAGCAGTCAATAAGAACATTAAAAGACATGTTGGGGTAAAAGAAACAATCTTAAATTTTGCCTTCTCTTTTTCTGTCAAAACCATATTTGTCCATGGTTGCTCTCCTGTTTCTTTTCAAACTCAGATCTGGATTTAAGATTGGCCTCATTCTGAAAGTTTGAGCAACACCTAAATGTTTCACGGTCTTTTGCTTACTTAATGGCCAAAGCTGAATGCCATTTTACAAAAGCCACCACGTAACCCCCCTATAGTAGATGACCATTTTAATTGATAAATTACTTGCTAACAAACAGTTCAAAATAATTTGACAAGTGCAGTAATCAGAGGGATACTCTGTTATATCATTCCCATGCAAAAAAACAATTTAAAAAAAAAGCCTGTCAGTTATGTAAAGGCACATAAAGTGTGTCCAGATTGCAGAACTGGAAATTACTATCAAAGCCAGATGAATGTAAACACAAAGTCTTATTACTGGGAGGGGAGGAAAAGAAGCAGCAGCACCTCTGTTTGGCTGCTTTGCCTGCATCTCTTCTCCCTGGGAAGAGCAACCTGCCAGGCTGCCTTCACTGAAGCCAAAGCTCTCCCTTGTCTGCTGGAAATGGTTTATAGAGCAGAGAAAAAAGCAAGAGCACCAGCAGCATGGATGTGCTTTCTGCCCTCTTCTAAAGTAGGTGCTGCCACATGGGCAGCCTTGTCTGAGAAAAGGAGGGAAATGCAGACCCTGGGGCCAGCTCTGCCCTGATACATGCCACGGGGCTTGAGGTTCCCTCTTCTGCAATGGTGGGAATGGGGACAGGGGGCACAGGCGATCATTTTTGCCCTGGAAGACACTGCTCATGCTGTGATGGTCACAGCAGAGGTGTTAACACTGAAAGTCTCTGGTTAACATTTACAGCCCAGCTATACATTTGTGGAAGTACAGTTTAGTAGGTACAGATGCAGATGCAAATGTCTTCCACAGATGTAATGTAGCAGCTACTACAACGAACAGAAACATATCTGGTCAACAACTAACAGGTAAAGAATATGTGTTTACTTCAATTAAATATTTCTTGAATACAAAAGGCACTTCTAATATTCACTGATCAAACCTGTGGATCCATTGCTTATTTGTTTCTCCCACTCTAGACAGTCAAAATCTGTAGAGTTGATAGTGTGGGATGGGTATATACGGTATGTTACTTCAGGGGTATAAATAATTGAGATTTGTATATTGTGGGTGAATATGGTGATGGAGGAGATCCAAAAACGATATGACTCCAAAATAATGTACTTTAGCTTTATTGTGTGGCCTCCATTTACTGTGCTTCTACCTGCAGCTCTGCATCTCTAGAATTTAGCATAGTCTAAACATTGTTGGGTTATTTAGGTTACACAGCACCACTTTAAAACTCTTATGGAAGTTAGATTATTTAATTTAAAAGATCAATGTTGCATTGTAGCCAAGAAAGAATATTATACTGTACTATACAGATGTATGAGATAATGTATTTTTAAATGCAAACTAGTAGTTATAACTGTATTCTATTTATTGTTGTGATTTCTTTAGTCTGTCAGTTGTGTTTCCTCAGAAACTTGAAATTAATGTTCTCCTTTGTCTTTTGAGTTAATTTAGGAAAAGAAACTTTTATATTAGGACTATTTTCAGCAAGAGATTTTCAAAGTGTATTCAATGGCAATTAGAATTTGAAGTTCAACAGAAAAAATTAACAGTCATTTGTAGAGACAGTATTAGTCATCTATTACCCACACAAATATGTTTTCTGCTATGAAATGTCACTAAAATAGGTATTTTAGAACACAAACCAAAAGCTTGAATAGGAACAGCTTTAGCTTATTGTATTTTAATTTTCAAATACATGGAAATATGTGCAAGTTCAATTTTTTGTGAACGTCAAAGACCAAACTCATTCCTGGTGTAGTTTGCAATAAATTTGTCCCTGTGTTTTCCAGCTTGTTTTCAAGAACACTGTATTTGGTGTGGCAACAATGGA